TTTTGTTTGATGGAAAGTGAACTATTTTAATCATCTTCAATCAATTTGTGTTGCTTTTATTGCCTGCGGCGTTGTAATAGTAGATTTATGTGTTAGTATTATTGAGTTTAACCTTGTTGTTTTAAGGATGATGTCAGGTTTGTTTATGGGGAACTGGTTATTATTGACGATATTGTTTTACGATTAAAATATTATTTGATACTTAATTTTGTTTGTAATAGCGAATACCGCGAATTAATTTTTTCATTGTTTGTAAATACTGTACTAAACAAAATATGTATTAAAAGTTAGTAATATTTTTCTTCCTCTCTCCTTGTCTGTTTTTTTTAGACGTTAGACAAAAACAAGAGCACAAAGGTTGTACAGACATGCTAACTAAAAAATGGTATACCTTTATTAAAAAATATCGAAATATACAGGGTATTTCAAAAAGTCGTGATGTTATAACTCATACAGCACAAACACATTTTAGAAATATTTCAACAATGTTACATTGAAACATTTGCAGTGTTGTATAAATATTACGAAACATCCCAGAAACATTTCTGAAATATGCCTGAAACGTAAAAATTTCCTCTAAATATAATATTTCACAGTAATATTTCTGAAATGAAAATTAGAAATCTTTTAGAAATATTAAATAGTAATATTTCAGAAATGTATTCTAGTTTTGTTTTTTTCATATTATTAGACAAAAAAAAGACATTTAAAAATATACATGTTTATTTAAAATACACAAAACTCAAACATTGATTCTTAAACAAATAAATATGTTTTAAAGAATATTTTATAAAATATTTCCACCGATTCCTTTAAATGCACTAATTTGAAACAACTAGGTTTTTTTTTAATAAATCTAATAAAAAAGATTTTATTTTTACCTAACTTATCTAGGGATAAAAAACTTCATAAACTAAGATTCTACTCATTATATAGAGTCCAATTATTTAGTTACACTACCGTTAACTTATAACACTTAACCGCACTATACTCTGTTTTAATCTAACATCACTGAACTAACTCAAATGGCCTGCCTGGTTCTCTCGAGTCTTCTTATTAGATTGGCATTGTTGAGGAGCTGGATAATCTCAAGGTTTCCATGTTGGAACAGTCGTTGTTGGTGACCACTGGCAAATTTTTGTCTTGTATTTTCAATAGTGTCCAGTTTAAGGTTCCTATGAAGATCAGTATTACGGAAGTACCAGGATGCATCGACAATGTTCCTTAGTACTTTATGGAAACGTTGAATAACTTGGATGTTATTTTTACTGGAACAGCCCCAAAGCTGGCAAATTGATTCATTTCCACCAATTCCTTTAAATGCACCAATCTGAAACAAAATATAGGTAATTAAAAAGGATCTATACAAATTATTTGATTAACAATAGTTTTATTAATATTGTTTTAAATTAACTATAATAAAACAATACTCATGTATAAATAAAACATGAAGATCCACCCAAGCAAGCATTATTTATGTAGTTCTCACCTTAATTTCTAAAGACATAGGGGTATATTCTGTAACAATTCCTTTATATTTAACGGCCTTTAAAAATATTTTCTCCTTTACTTCTGTCATTATTTAAACGGATCTTTAAAATACATTAGAGGACTATCTTAAAGAAATCTGTTTAAATAATGATAAAAGTAAATGAACGAATAAGAAACTATTTTTAAAGGCCGTTAAATATAAAGGAATTGTTACAGAATAGATCCCACATTGTGCTTCCCATATAACAAGTTCACAACGCATGAATATCAAAAACCAACAACTCAAATCTATAATTATTTAGAATATAGGCTTGTTTCTAGCTGATGGCTGGACAGGGATATGATAAAATAAAATAACTACATATCCCGTCTTCTTTTTACAAATCAGAAATTCTTCATTAATTGTTGGCCTTTTACAACATAACCCGTTTAGTAACCTTTTGTGTAACATGTAAACCATGTTTCAGAAACATTTTTAGTGAAATATTTAACTAAAACATTTCAGAAACTTATACGTTTGAAATATTTCTGAAATGTTTGCTGTATGGGTAAATATGTAACCTTCTACAAACCGTTTTATCATTTCCAACATAGCTACTTTTAATCGATTTGTAGCCGTGCGACTGTTTAGTCGCAATCGCGTCGCCAAGAAAATAGGTCTGGTCATTTTTTAATCGCAGGGATTATTTTATTGCACATGTGTGTATAATCATTAAAACGTTAATATTTTAATTTTGCGACTAAACAGCGTGACTAAAATTCGCATGTACGCACCTGGTCTTAAGCCGTAACAGATAGGGAGACGATTAAATGGGAAAAGGTCGACTATTTTAGGCAATAGGGTTTGACAAAATCTGCAGTACGACAGATATAGCTGATGTCAGATACAGGTTAAATACGCAGTGAATGGAAGAGCGGACTCACGGATCACTTCGTTCCGGTTTTTCGATTTGATCACTTGGATCTTTAATACATTATATTCGAAGTCGTGCATTTTGAGACGTTGCCAATTATAAGTGACTTGTTTTGAGTATAAAAGCTGGTGAAATATTAATTTTCTTTTGAAATTTACGCAGGAGGAGGCAAATGGAAATAAACCTCTTATTAAATTTCATAATGTACAAGAACGAGTAGCTGGGTTGATAGATAGGGCAAATACAATAATTTAAAACCACTTTATTTAGTTCTCATTATTAAATAAACTTACCTTTCGACAATAACTACATGATATAATAGTTGGTTTATAATTAATACTATAATGTATTTAGTGAGACAATGGATTTTAAAAGTTCCGGAAACTTGTCGGTTAAAGATTTGAAAAATAGGACAATAAATTCCTTAGAAATCCCCAATATTACTCCTACGAAATAATGAAAAACAAGTTTAATGAAAAATAGAAAAAAATCTGACCCGGGAGATTCGAACCCACTTCTCCGTGTTCTACGCAAACATATTCTTCCGTGGCATTTAAAACAGTAACTTTTTACCAGTTATAAAATAACTACGTGATGTATGGTTTTGGCGAAGCTATTAAAAATTTTGGAAAATGTATATTGGTGTTTGGGAAAAAGACAGGGAATTTTATTAGTTGACACTCCATTTATAATTTATTTGAAAATGCATGATTGCATAGTTTTTATGGCAAAGGTCTATATACAGCATTGTTCAAAGCAGAAAAAAGTAAATATTGATACCTTCTTATCTGAATTTTCATAGATTTTAGTATGGCCACCCCGAAAAATCTCGAATATAATACATCATAAAATGTAAATGAGTAAACCCTAAGGGATTAAGCAATAATTCTATATCTCAGTGACGGTGAACACGAAATTACTCCATTAATGTCTACTAAAAGTTTATCCAAAGTAGGTATCTTTTTTTGAAAATAAAACGAATGCACTTTTCTTTGGATCATTTGTTTCATAATACCGAGGGTTTTCTCCCAGTTGACGTTTTAGGTGCTACTGTAATACTTCCATCCTTTCGTTGCTTCAAAGTCTATAAATGGTTGCTTCTAGAACTCCGGTCATATTTGAACACCTAAAAACTATACTCCGAATAGTACTATTGAAATGTTCATGTACAAGAGCGTCATGTACATTTACCACTAAAGTTTTCATATGCACGGTTAAATTGAACTTTAATTACACAGGAGTTAAATTAGACGTTTGTGTCATTTTTATTGCACAAATTCACTTGATCAATATCGCGTTTTACCGCCTATTATTACAGAACTAACAATTATGCGTGTTACAATCGCAGGACTATACAAACAGAATTGTAAATCTTAACTAAAATAATGTACAATCTGCATAACACTTTCTGTCGATTAGAAATCTTAATCCATTCTAAGAAAGTTGAGGCTACTTAAATTGATCTTGAATTGTAAATATGTTCTACCTCTAGAGATTACATACTTACCTTATTTTTGTTGATTAACATGACTAGAAAATTTAAGACAATAATTAAAATAAATTGGTGTTTTTAAAACTTTTAGGAAGAAAACCAAAGATTTTATTTTGAAACAAATAATGCTAAACATTTTATTTTAGAACTTCTCCATCACTGATTTATGATGTTATATTGGGGTTTATCTCCTGGTTCATGAACATTTTTTCATTCGTTTTCAAATAAACTATTGGAAAGAGAACTTTCATATATGTCATTTTTTATTGGAACAGTTAAAATATCTAAATAAATAAATTAAACTGCTCTGTTTAAATGGAAACATAATAATTGGATACAATCAATACATTTTTTCCCATAAGACATCAGTCATATTAAGAGCCATTGTTTCTTATTATTCCGGATTGCAAAATTTTAAATGGACACTCATGTCAAGAATATCAGAGTTTCTTGGTATTTCGGAAAGTACGAGGTTGCTTAATTGAGACAGACGTTTCTTGTTTCAGAAATCACGTTATTAGTAATAGACTGGCTTTGCATTCAATAACAAAGAGATACAAACTGTCAAACTGTTCGCGATTCAAGCTAAGTGATACGCCCTCTGGAGGAAATTCGTAGAAGGTCCCTATAAGTAGGATATCGTTCAGTGTTGCCAGAAGTAGCAAAATTTCGCTACGTCGTCGGATTTTAGCTTTTGAAGAAGTGGATAAGACCTTTTATTTAAGAATCAACATGATAAAGATTATATGTATGACGAAAGCACGAGAAATAAACTTAAATTAACACTAAATTAAACTCAAAAACACTATTACAATGAGAATATTATCTAAAAACAGTTAAAAAAATCACAAATACAAAATCCGCCCAAAAAAAACATGTAAATAAACAAACATCCTACTTATAGGTGACAAATGACAGGCGTGCGAAAATTAATTTGAATCGCGAATATTGTTACCTGCCAACTTCTGTTAAGGTGTCAATTACCTTATAAAAATAAAAGCAAGACCGTAAACCACCCAACCTCAATTAAATTTAGATTCTGTACTCTCTTTGGAGATTAAATACTGGAATTATGGTTCAAAGTCGGTTTTTTTTTTTTTTAGCTCTGGTTCAAAGGAGTGAGAAGTTCAAAGTTTCGCCATGTATACGGCGAACCCGCCAAACGCGAAAAATGTTACGACAACATTCCGATCACCAAAAATGCGCACGATTCACAATTTTGCGCTGTCAATCCAAAATTTCTCGCTGTGGTCACTGAAGTTGCTGGAGGAGGAGCTTTCACTGTTATCCCCATAAATTGCGTAAGTAATATTTTCTTTTACAATACAATTCTCAGCTCAAATTACCAAAGAGCATTCATTATATAATTTTTTTTTAATAAAAAACATCTACTGTAATTATTTATTATTCAATTTAATTTATTACACAAAAGACAATAAAAATAAATAAACACTTTAATATTTAAAAAAATAAATTTTATTTCTTTTTAAATATTTTTTCATCATATTTAAAGCTGTCCATTTATGTATATAAGCATTTACAATTTTTCACCAATCTCTTTTACTGTAACTACCTTTTGTATGAAGCAAAATCATGGAAAGATACATCAACATATATATTTTAAAATAGTATTTGTGAGAGAAATTAAAGGTTCCTAAAAATAAAGATGAGATCGAAAATCGGTGAATTGACAACGCTGGCTAAGATAATAAATAAACTCGCTGAATAGACTGGAGCATGGAGCGAAGGCGGATTTTTTCGCAGCCATGTTTCGTGTAAATATTCCGTCCTCCGAGTGCGACCGACGTCACCCAAACTCCTGAATTGAAAGCTACGCAACTTTTAACCCTTCCTTGTTTGCCAGCCAGCAACGTTAGTGAATAGGTTACTTCACGAGAAACGGAAACTCTAGTGAACACCTGGGACGCACTGACAGATTCTGGTTGGAACAACCGAAAAAAAGAAGCTAATTGAAAGTTATAAGTAGGCGTGGGATGTATTTTTTTATTAAAAATAGTATGGGTAGATAACATACATTTTCATTTTATATTCATATAAATTGGTTTCCCCTTGTACTGGAGGGTCTAGCCCTACAGCCTTTACAGACAAGCCGCCACTGGTTACTTCTATCTTCTATAACTTTTGCGGACGGTGACATTCTGCAAGCTAGCATTCAGTTCACCAAACAACTATCCTTCACCAAGCTCGACATTAGAAGACTATAACTTCTTTAATTGATGAATTTGAAATTATCACAATTGGAGACTGAAAAACCATAAATCTCAACACTCCAATACATAATCCTTCTTCTTCTTCCTTTATTGTGCTATATCCTAGAGGATAATTTACCTAGCCAACAACGGGGAGAGTATCCTTGTCTTGCTCTCAGCAATTGGATACCCTCTATTAAATTAATATATATTTCAAAGTAAAAAGCTTATTAATGTTACTACTTGAGTTATATGCGTAGAGGGGCATACAAAGTTAGTTCTTAGACGTCACAACACAGGATAGCTGAACACACCCAGAAAACTGCCAACGGTAAATAGAAGGAGCACCCAGGACTCGAAAAGAGGATAAAGTATTAGGGTTATAATTGAATTTTAAATATATTTAAAAATTTGATTAGAATATTTAATCTGCTATTATTGAGGGAGTAGAAAGCTTAGTTTTTGCTATTTCATAGTATAAATCAAAGTTTACTATTATATTTATGGAACATTCAAAGGTAATGTGGTTTAATGAGCCAATTTGACCACACTCACAATATGGATTATCTTTTACTCCTTTACGAAATACGTGATATGGGGATAGGCAATGTCCTGTCCTCATCCTAACTATTGTTAAATGTCTTCTGTCCTTGTAGGGAAAAATTTAAAAACCAAGGGATTTTATCAAATCGTGGATCGACTTTAGAATAAAAGGAATTCTTCCTACTCTTGAGGCTATTCCATTCTTCAAGCCATCTTGAATTCACAATGTTTCTGATGAATGGAAAGAAATTATGATAGTTTAATTTAATATTCACTGGAATATTCAGAGATCTTCCTATATTTGCCAATTGATCAGCCTTAAAGTTACCTAGAATCCCAGAGTGGCCTGGAATCCATGCCAGAATTATTTTGATATGTTCATCTTTTGCGAGTAAGATACCGTCCTTTAGAATCCTTTATACTCTCAAACAACCCAACCACAACAAAATAGGTTATCTCCGTTATCTCAGATGAGAGATTTAAGTAAATCGTGGATCGTATTCAACCGCACAAATGTCTTCACAAAAGACAAAATAATACTCAAGTCTGGACCACATAAATGTAAATAATAGGTCAACGCAATAAAATAAATCACTAGCAACAAGCCTGTTAGGAAATTTTTTTATGTAAATTAATGAAAGTATAAAAAAATCTATTACATTATATATTTAACGAAAAAGGTATCCCAATAATAAAAAAAAATGTCATTAAAAAAAGATTTACACTTCTCCTGCCAGAAATGGTGATGATGAATTTCACTTGAGGAGTTATCGACTTGACTACGAGACGTACAGCCTTTCCTTTTTTAATAACATTTTTTTTATTAATTGAATACGTTCTCCATTTTTTTAATTTCATTAATTTTTTTCAACAAGCCTGTTGCTAGTGAGAAATTTGTTATTATTTATTGCATCGACTTAGCCTTTAATGATACCAACCCCGTATTATTTTGATGACGTGCATTTAACTTTGTATCCCAATTTTGATTGTTCCTTTTAGACCGTCAGATAGCGACTGTGTAGGTGCCCCACTTTCGCATACAAGCTTCGAAGAGGGTTGAAAAGTACATCGATTTTGAGTAGAATGAAAGGAAATTTACGAGTGGCTCTAAAAGTTATTTTTTGCACATATTTTCACGCAAGCCGTGTTCACTAAATGATTAACTAGTCGAACTAGGCTTCGGAAAACCAAATGCTTTAAAGTTGCAAGTGACCAAAAGGTTGAAATAAGGGCGTAATTTTGTAAGGAAAAAAATCGAGATTTTAACCAATTTTTCCACACAAGCCCATCGAATGTATGAAAACATATATCGTCACTAGTCCGAAAAACATATTGGCTAGATTATCTCAAGATATATCATCAGGCAACTTCCACAAAGGGATTCGGGATCCTTATTCGTAATTCTGAATAATTCTGTAACGTGAATGATCTTCAGTATTCAAACTTGAACTCGAAACTGTCTAGCGATGAGACTAAAACGTAAAACGTCTAGATATAAATCCAAAACGTCTAGAGACGAATCCAAAACCGTCTAGATATAGCCATGAGCTTATAAAATCAGACGGATTTTAAGAATATTAAAAATCATCTAATACTTCGTATGACTAAGATAAATTAAAATAAACACAAGTTGATTGTCACTGTCAACCAAGTCAAAAATAAATCTCACAAGACGACAAATGACATTTGAGTAAGAGGTGGTTGTGTCGGAATAACGAAATAACGGTTCCAACCGTTACAATCTCCGAGGCTTGTATGCGAAAATGGGGCACCTAAATCGGTCACTATCTGACGGTCTATTTACTAAGGCCTGATGATGTCGATTTATAATTTTTAGAATTAAATTTATGTGGCACATATTTTGAGTATTATTTTGTCTTTTTTCATTAGAGATGTTAGTGCAAAAGAAATTGGGATCCTATTTAGCAGGGAAATATGTCTCCTTATCTAACCTCTTGACACTATATAAAACCAAAATAAGATCTAACCTCGAATACTTCTCACACATTTGGGAATCTACAACAACTATTCTTGATGCCATTCAGAGAAGAGCTCTCTCCTTAATTAATTGACACCAATCTCACTAAAACCTCGCTCCTCTTGGCCATTAACGTGTTATGGGTGATTTGCCTTGTTTTACAGACACTACAAATATCTCTGCTCTTCCGCTCTTTTCTCCATTAATCCACTACTAGTGACTCGCTAATCCCTTAACTTGCAAACATGCACGATATAACTGCTACATCTAAAACTAGTACTTGCCATTTTTCAGTAAATTGCAATTAAAATTTAAATTATTAACACACTTTTAATTCTAGATAAAATCATGTGTGTAATTCAAGCGAAAAGTGTTGTTTTCGCTTTCAATATTTTATAAAGCACTTTAAATCTTGAAAAATAAACGGTAATTACATTTTAAATGTTATTTATTAAAACATTACTTGGCAATCTTGAATAATGTAGTTGTATTTTTGGGTTTTAGACTGGTAGATTAGATTTCAACGCCAGCAGAGTTACAGGCCATGCTGGACCAATTTTGGATATCAAATGGAATCCTTTTAACGATAATGTCATCGCGTCTTGCTCCGACGATTGCACCGTATGTTATTTCTAATTACTTTAATGTCTCATGAAAAATTATTAAAATTTTTATATCTAGTTTGATTTGCTAAAAATTTATTATAGTTTTTTATTTGTTTGAAATTTATATAACGTAATTTTTCATTGAAATTTTCATAGTAATAAGTAAATTATTAAAACAAAGTAAAAATTAGAAAATTGGATATAGTGATGAAAAAAATTGTCATTGTAGATCAAACTGTGGCATATTCCTGATGAAGGACTATCAGTTCACCTCACTGATTGGTTAGTAGAACTACAAGGGCACAAAAGGCGTGTTGGTTATATAGAATGGCACCCCACCGCTGAAAATGTTTTGTTCAGTGCCGGGTTTGATCATCTGGTAAGTACTAAATATTTATATATTTAATATTTTTTTATTGGGTCAGTTATCTAAAATTTTTGTAAATAAGGAGCAGATAATGTCTACCAATACACACTTCCTAAAGTTTCTGATAATTTTCTGTAATTATTAATTTTGGAACTTTCTTCTTAATGCTGTCACTATTCTCCATACCCTCTGAATATTTTAACATATCCTTTCTTGCAAAAAAATTAATTCGTTTTCATTCTGGAAATGTATTTAACTCGATTTTCAAGTAATTGAGTGTGGATAAGACAAAAACTTATTGAAATTTAAAATGGATACTCGTGACATTTTGCCAGTTAAAATGGTGGTTGGTTGGTATACAAACAACAAATTAGCATTGAATTTACCGTTTTTACTTTCCTAGTATAGGAAATTATAGTAAACATGATTTTTTCGAACTCGAGTTTTCGACGGATCTTTGCGTTTTGCTGGTCCACTGAATCCGTATTAAACTTTAATACATCCGGCGATGAAGTGACTAGATTTTTGGCATAATTTTTCTACATTTAGGCGTGTTTCTGTTATTTATTATTAGAAAAGAAAATTCTTTGAATATAAGTTGTTTGTGGTGTCATTCTCTTTAATTTTTATCATATACCTACATGATTTCTCTAAAATTGATTGTAACTGAGAAATTTGGGAAGAAGTCCTAAATTTGGTATTTTCATGATATGAAAAATGTTTCGAACAAAATGTGTATGGAAAATATTTGTCTTTAATTCATATTCTAAACCTTTTTTTATTACTCATTATATTTGATAACTATACAGGAGAGTCATGTTTGAATATTTTAAGATGGTAATGTTAAAAAAAAAACATTTAATATTGTAAACAACTGCCACATTGAATTTTTTTGACAGGAAGCCAGAGGGGCAACGTTAGACAAAATTCACCAAAAACTCTAAAATCAAAATTTAGGTAAATGACAAAAATAACCATGGTAAACCTACTGCAATAAATCCTTCTTTCCAAGTCATAATAGCCTTGGATTGTCCGCGTGATAAAACAAAAGATAAATCTTGTCAAAAATAGCGTCTTAAATGCGTATATTGCTGTAATTTTTTGACTGCAAATATTATTGATTAAATCGGTCTACTTTTTGTGCTATAATAATCGAATTAAATTTGATAATAATCATGCAAAATAATCGACGTGATCAATAGATTATTATTGTATAAAAAAAATGTATTGCTGAATTTTACTGTTATTCCAATGAGACATTTTCATGAGTTCTGCAAAAATTAACAAATTTACTCAAACCTAAGATTTCTTTTAGACAAAAAGTAACAAATTCTGCCGTATTCAGTGTAGATTTTGGCAAAGTCTCTTTTTTTTGTGAACATTCTTATTTATAGTGATAGTGCGTTTAGTTGCTACTTTTTGCTTATAATGCCGAAATTTAGACAGGCGCAAGAGGGTGATATTTTTGTAACACTATTACTAGAAACGGCAGTCGGGCTACTTTTTTTATATTTTTTTTAATTCCTGTTTTGTTATCTCCTGCGTGATCCCAATCATTACATTTATTCATCTATAATATGCAGCTTATGAAACACCCTAATTAAATCGGAATTTATCGGTACGTTCATTTTGGATTTTTTCAGTCTTTCTTGATAAGAGTTTACTTTCCGCACACTTGTAAAAAAACTATTTCTGCAATAAAATTATGTTTTTCTAATATAAATAAATTTGCTCTCATTGTTTGTGTTGTTTTAGATTATTTGAAATCATGGGCGTCGTTACACAATTCTATAGGGGGGGGGCAAAATTTTCAAAAAAATTTAGAATGTTTATTTGTTCGAAAACAAAGGAAATGAAAAATAAAAGAGAATTTTCTTATAATGGGTTTCATTTTTCTGTGACGTCATGGCTTACTTACAGATTTTCCAGAAATAACAGAAAATCGCAATTTATTTTTTATTTTTAAATGAAAACCCATTTTTATTAAAAATTTGAATTTCTGGAACATTTTTGGGGCGTGTATTGAAAATTTTCTGTAACATATTAAAAAATATGATGGTCATTTTGACAGCTGACAGAAAATTTTCAACACATGATTCTTTTCCATAAATGTTCCCGAAATTCAAATTTTCAATAAAAAAGGGGGTTTCTATTTCAAAATAAATTGAGATTTTGTGTTATTTCCGAAAAACCAGAAGTAAGCCATGACGTCACACACCAATTGAATCAAGTATATCACAGTATTTGTTTCAAGTTTTTAAACAAAAAAGCTTTTATTCCAATATCTCAATTAACAACGAAGATAAAAGCGGATGGAATTATTAAACGGTTTGCTAATAATAAAAATGCTTAGATACGCCACTAGTATACGGTAAATGGGTCTCAATGGGAATTTTGAAGCTTACAAAGATTTTATAAAGATCGTACATTCCTATATTTTTTTCCATAAACGAATTAATAGTGACATGTTTAGAAAAAATATTATCTAATATGACGGCCATTTTGACAGCTGACAGAAAATTTTCAATACACGATTACTTTACAAAAATGTTTAAATTTACAATAAAAGAGAGGGTTTCCATTTAACAATAAAAAAAAATCGATTTTCGTTATTTCCGGAAAAACCGGAAGTAAGCCAGGACGTCAAAGAATAATTAAATCCATCATAAGAAAGTGTTTGTTCCAGTCTTTCAAACAGAACAAAATTATTCAGATATCTCTCTGAATAGTGAAAATAAGGGAAGTGGAACTTTAGTAGTAACCCTAACAATGTCACTGACCCATTTGACAGAACTGATACTTAAGTTGTCATAACCAGTCTCTAATAAATAAAATAACCAAACAAAAAAGAAAAACACTAAAATTAAAAAAAAAACAAGAAACTTAAAGCACATTTTTAAAAAACAAACAGAAGGTGTGATATAAAAGAAAAATATGAACATAATAATATAAGTAATAAAAATTTATAAAAAACAGAAACATAAAAAAACTCACTGAAATATGTCAATGAACACAAAAAAACACTAGGAAAACGCAAATTTTAAATTTCTTTTTTATCTACTAAAAACATCGATAACGGAAAACATAATTTATTTTTCAGTCAGCCTATTTTCATTCATTATTCACTCCGTGCCTGACAGCAACGCCAACTATTTTATGAACTAACGGACGATATTTGCGTATACTGACAATACAATTTTTAATAGAGTTCGTAATTAAGAAATATATATGTTATTTTTAATTTTAAAACAAGTGAAAAAATTATTATTACATATTTTTATTACTTCAGCTAAAAAAATCAATAATGAAACATAGGCAGGTATTTACGAGAAAATGTATGAGATCTTGCCTAAGCCTAATAAGTTGTCATTGAAGAATAGGTTAAATAATGTCAAAATAAAAATATTACCATTATATAATAACGTACAATTTAAAAGTAATAACAAAAATAATTGGTATATTTGCGATTGTAATTTATATTTTTTTCATTTTTAGTTCGAAAGAACCCATAGAAATTAATGAATAAAACTGGTTTCTTATCAATAAGTCACAAGATTGCATGTCAGCCATATACAATAATTAAAGGCAGACATCTAATCATTTGATAAACATTTAAGATTTAAGGGATGCTAAATAATATCATAAAAAAATCATTTATTACTTAATTATTACAAAAATAAAGATTTTTTTTTGTTCTTATTATACAGCTGTCCATTTATTTCTTTTATTTAATTTCGATTTTGCTACTGAACATTCATATAATTTACACTCTTTTTGCTAGTATAATTTGCAACATAGCAACTCCAGTTGCTCATTTTATTGTTTTTACCTATTTTTTTAGTAAAAAGTAAAAGGTATATGTGTATTTGTTATGCCAAAATTACAAAATATCGCCCTAAAATACTCGAATTATCCGCAGCTTGCGCTAGTATCACTTTTGTTTCCCCTACCATGACTTCGCACTGATCGAATAGACCGCAGCCATGTTTTAACATGCCTTAGCGTTCCAAACGTTCTTTCGATTAACTCTGTCGTTGGTGGAAGAGCCATAAATATTTTTTAAACCACTTTGTATGTCTGGATAAAATTCACAATACTTGGACGCTATATCATTAATGGAGAGCTCATTGTGTGCAGAAAGCTCTTTCGTATTCCAGTTTGGTATTCAGCTTTAAAATTGTCGATTCCAAATTTTTTCACCACTTTCATTTTCTTATCGGTAGTGAAAAAAGTATTTTTTATGTTTTTGAGATGTAACAGGCTTAAGGAAAAACTAACAAAGTCTTCGGAAAAGCGGAACCTAGATATGCAATAAATATATTCAACCTATAATATTCTTCAACTATATTAGCCTGAATATTATTTCTATGAGATTGTTGTTCGTAATGCATATCTTACGCGTTGTTGATTAAGTCCCCCCAAACGACGCCCATGTTTGAAATTAGAAATTAGTCGAATAGATCTGTGGAAAAAGATTTAAAAAAACCAAAACCGACAATGTGTATATTTTAAAGAATACGTAAGAAATTTAACAAATTGTCCAACTGACAAGTTTCAAATTATTTCAAACCAAATTTATTAACAAAATGGCAAAAAGCTTGCAGAGTTACGTCAGTTTTTGCTGAAACCAATAAAAACCTGGCTAGATACCAAAGTGGTATTTACCAACTAAACGCACGCTTTAGATCAATCAAACATTGAACGCCTTTTGAGTGATTTTTTATTTAGTTGCGAAAACTGCTGATTTTCGCAAGAATTTGGTCGAAGTTATCAGTTATGCGGCTCAAATGGAGCTCAGAAAATCTGGTAATGTTCAAGCCTCCAAACTATTACAAAAAATTTATAAGAATCCTGCTAGAGCTCTCAATATATAAGTGCTTTAAATAAAGTTATGACTACAGATACTAAAACAAAATTGCCACCAGAGGAGGCACTTTCAGTTTTAATGGAAGCGAACTTATCTCGTAATCAATATAATATAATTAGAGAAAAGGACAAAGCTAGATATCCCT